TACTGCGTAAATCTGAAATACGCGTGAAACTTAGCTGTAAGCGGAGTATTACTATTGTGCATTACGAATCCTTGCAAGACAGCAAATAATCTTAATATAAGCGTCATATATTTTGCACAAGATAAAAAATTTTCCATTAATAAAATTAGTTTGAACATGTCAGTTCAGTGACAATTTATAAGACAAAACTTCATTCTTAAAGTCACTCTTAAGGACAGATAAATAAATAAGCACTAGACCTTGGCATCAACTGCCAAACATATCTCAATTCTCCTCCCCCCCCTCTTCCCATCAGCTGATCGCTAGTAACAGACCATTTCACATCCCATAATTTTAGCTGTGTTGATTTATGAGTGTTTGTTTTAACATAATAGTACAAAAAACAATGTTTTGTTTATTCTAGGAGATGGGCTGAGGTGCATCTGGGTAGACTCTCAGTCTTTTTAGTATTTTGTGTTTCTCTCAAGTACCAAACTAAATTATTCCATTGAAACAACACTTCGATTTAGTGCGAATTCGGTTTAAAGCGACCTCTCTTGGAACGTATCTCGTGTTATATCGACGTTCTACTGTGCTGTGATACATTTGAGGTAAAGCTACCATATAGTAACTTTAATACTTGGTGCTCCTTATACTGTGATACATTTGAGGTAAAGCTACCATATAGTAACTTTAATACTTGGTGCTCCTTATACTGTGATACTTTTGGGGGGGGGGGAGGGGGATTAGCTCACCCAGGCACAGGTGACTAACCCACATCAGGGCCTGGGGGGCCAAAATATAATAATAAAATAATTATTATTATTATTAAAATTTAATAATAATAATAAAAATAAAAAACAATAATTATAATGAAAAATGAAAATAAAATAATAATAATAATAATAATAATAATAATAATAATAATAATAATAAATAAATAAATAAATGCAAAAACGAAAAATAAATCAAGAGTGAGAAATGATATACATTATGTATGTTTTTTTGTCAAAGTAAGAGAAACAATTGAGACCCTGCAATTGGGTGTAAATAAGGCAGAAAGTCAGATCAGCAACCTGGGACTTGGTCACATATGGCAGCAGGGTCTACCATTAGATAACACATTATGCTTCCAATATCTTCGTAGGTGGTAGTACTGTTGTGTTGCTCTATGATGTCTCGCACTCAGGATGGGTTGGAGAAAGGAAACTCTTAATGGTGGTTTTCTTATATAAATATATTGTAAAGTACAGTGCGGTGCAAGGGAGTTACTGTGTGGTGAGGAGCTTGCTGAGAGGAGGTGTTGCGGGGCTGTAGATAGAAGGGATTTCACGGCGAAGTTGAGAGCTTATATAGGAGGTCCGTCGCTGATAGCCAACCCCGCTGTCAGACCACGAGGATTTGGCTGGGAAACTCGAAAATGGATCGGCTGGTCAGCGACAAATTGCAATGGCAGTTGTAGGGGAAAGTATCCACTACAATACTCCTCCTCCCCTGTGGGAGAAGGAGGGTTGCAGAGGAGAGAAGGTTGAACAGGCGAGGAATGTGGTGCTTCTCTTGCGGCAGGTGCACAGTCCTCAGGGGCACCGGGTGGGGTGTCTGGGTTCATAGGGCCGGCTGCAGGATCCTCATCAGGAGCAGGGTCCACGTCAGGAGCAGTAGGTACCTGAGGATGAAAAGAGGGTACCCAGAAATGTTGTGGGCGAGGTGGTGCTGTGAGCGGCAATGGTGGGCAGACTGGCGAAGGAGGTGCGGGATGAATGTGTTCAAGGCGATGGGAAGGCTGGCGAAGGAGGTGCGGGATGAATGTGTTCAGGGCGATGGGAAGGCTGGCGTGGGGCAGTAGCCTTGAATGCAGAAACTGCCTATTGTAGTGTTTGCAGTAGTTATGACAGGCAGCAGGAGTGAAGTGGTCAAGGTCAGAAGTAAGGCATGTGATGTGCTGCTTGATAGTGTCGGAGGTTATGGCACCTACCAATCCCCATCGATGTTGCTTCCTCGTGTGGTTGCAGGGAGCCTCACAGCGTCTAGCGTTAGCACCAAAACGTTGGTGGTACCAACAGGGGGTAGATACACTGTGCTGGCGGCGGCTTCTGAGGCAGGGCGGGTGTGTTGGGGTCGGAAGGACAGTGTGTGGGGCAGGAGCAGCTGCAGGGTTGGAAGAGCAGAGCTGCTCGAGGGTGTCCATCCTGTGGTGTAGGGACTGTAGTAGGTCCCTCATATCTTGTGTGGTGTTGCTCATCTGGGGAGCGTTGATTTGGTTGATGAGACCGAAGGAAAGTGATGGTGTGGCCACCGAGTTGTTTGCGGGAGCATGGCACACAGCAGTGTATTCGAGGAATACTCTGCCTGCCATGGCTGCATAGGTCGCCGAGGTAGTAGAGTAGTCCAATACTGAGAGGACGAGACAAACTTCTGCATGGAGCTTCTGAGTGTGAAGCTGGCGCAGGATAGTGTCAGGAAGCCTGTCTGTGTGGCGGGAGTTCAGTCTTTGCACCTTGTCCCAGAGACGTGCAGGTGTTGAGTTACCGAGGGAGAGGCCAGATAGGTCTTGCAGGAGACTGGTGTCGGGCCGCTGGTATCGCCTCTTGAGAGCATCTCTTAGAGCTTCGAATTTGTTGTCTGCTGGAGGGTTGGTGATGGTTTCTGAGACTTGCGTGGCGACTTCAGTGGGCAGGGAACAGACTAGGGTGACATACTTCTGTTTGTCTGTAGCTGTAGAGCCGATGAGGGCTGCCTCCGTGTGGATAAGCCAGTCTTAAATGTTGTGATTGAAGACTGTGAGAGTGATCCGTTTCTCCTCCACCCTGTGTGAGTGCATTTCTTCGGGGGTCACCACTTGTTGTGTTTGGTTATAATGTCTCGCACTCAGGATGGAGTGGAGAAAGGAAACTCTTAATGGTGGTTTTCTTATATAAATATATTGCAAGTACAGTGTGGTGCTAGGGAGTTGCTGTGTGTTGAGGAGCTTGCTCAGAGGATGTGTTGCGTGTTGCGGGGCTGTAGGTAGAAGGGATTTCACGGTGAGGTTGAGAGCTCATATAGGAGGTCCGTCACTGATAGCCGACCCCGATCTGTCAGACCACGAGGCTTTGGCTGGGAAACTCGAAAAGGGATCGGCTTGTCAGCGACAAATTGCAGTGGCAGTTGTAGGAGAGAGTATCCACTACAGTATAGCCACCCAAAAAAGTCCTGTCACGAAGCACGACTCAGACTCGTGAACCCGAAGCAGTAGACACTAATACATTATTCTGTCCATAAATGCTTCGGATTCAAGAGTCTGAATATTGGGGTTCATGATTCGTGACAGGACTTTTTTGGGTGACTGTACCTACCCGTTTGATAGCTGCCTACTACCATATTGTAACTTTATACTTGGTGCTCCTTACACTGTAATACATTTGAGTTAAATTACCACATAGTAAATTTATACAGCATCAAGGTACAACACAATGAAGTCTTTAAAAATGATGCTTAATGTATAGTCACTCAATAAAATATCTGTACCTAGGAGGTGTAGTATCTTACATTATTTAATGGGAGAATGACAAGCCACATGCTCCGTCTACCTAGAGCGTTTATCCCCTGTTGTTCGTACAACGTGCCTAACACATTTCGTGTTTACACAAGCCTAAACACTTTCTGACTTTGGTAAGAAGTAACATAATATATAATGTATATATAATCAATAAAGGCAGCATATAAACATACACATATATCACAGGAGGGATCAAGGAATTTCAGAATGAACACTATTGTTTCAGTAGGGTTGTTAAAATCCTTCGTCTGTTATGTCATTATTATTATTATTATTATTATTGTTAATATTATTATTGTTGTTATTATTTTTGTTGTTATTATTATTGTTATTATTATTATTGTTATTATTATTATTGTTATTATTATTATTGTTATTATTATTATTATTATTATTATTATTATTATTATTATTGTTATTTTTGTTTTATTATTATTATTATTTTTTTTTTTTTATTATTGTTAATATTTTTATTATTATTATTACTATTAGTATTGTTTTTATTATTATTATTATTATTATTATTATTATTATTATTATTGTTATTATTATTATTATTATTATTATTATTATTATTATTATTATTATTATATATCAGCATTACATAAGTCACAGATTCGGCTGTTTTATCCTTCAGTGGGACTAAAATCACAAATCTAGAAAAATGATCCACACAAATTAGGACGTAAGAGGATCCTTGATGACTCCTCGAAGTTGTAACAAGTCGATCGCGACTGTGTCAAATGGACGTTCTGGTGTAGGATATTGTAGAATTGGAGCCGGTGCCCTTGTAGTACCCTTATGTTGAGCACATGACAAACACTTAGCAATATGCAATTCTATGTCTTTCATCATAGTACTGTATTCCCAAAATACTTTTTTCTGATCTCCGCCAGAGATTTGTCACGACCGGGGTGATCTGCTTGGGGAGCATCGTGATACAACGTTAGTATCGTTTCACGAAGTGTATCAGGTACGACAATTTGTGTAACAATACCCTCAGTTGTCTGCTTGGAGCAAGCGAAGGAGTATGTCTCGTCGTAGTTCAAATTGATTGAACAGAAGAGTAACTTTGGAAGATTAGCCTCCTCCCCCGA